GGACCAACATTTTTAAACACACATGAAGAGAAATCCCCTGGGGATAAAAATGACGTAGAAATGGGGACAGAGTTGCTGAGAGGGTCAGGACGTTAGCCACAGCGACTCTGCTTGGTCCAAGAAATGAAGATGCTGGGGGGACGCAGGAGCGAGACAAAGGATGGTAGTTTACTGAGGAAGGGGGCCCCGGAGTGGACCACGAGGTGGAACTGGGGGCCGTGGGGTGGGTCTGGGTGGAGGGAGGGGCCCCCGCTGGTAGCCATAGGGAGGAGGTCTCGGAGGACCAGTGTATCCATGAGGGGGCATCAGTGGAGGAGGCCCGCGCATCCCGTGTGGAGGCATGGGACCTGGATGACCTGCAGGAAGAAACAGAAGAGTTAATAAAAGTGAAAATAAGAAGCAGTTGATGCTGAGAGATCGGCAGGGGATAAGATAAAGAACAGAAGAAACAGGAGACATCAGAGAAAGGGCCCAGGACAGGGCGATGACAAAATGCTGTTAGAACAGACCCAGACCCCACAGCGTGGTGGCATATGCCCCATCCCATAACCCTGGCACTGAGGCAGGAGGAGCAGGAGGCCAGGCTACCCTGGGTAGAGTCTCCGTCTCCCCCCGACACATGTAAATACAGGTAAGGTAGGAAAGGGCTACACCCACTCACCCATGGGAGATCCAAAAGGAGGCCCTCGAGGGGGCATGCCCATCGGAGGAGGTCCAGGATGAGGCATTCCAGGAGGTGGCCGGGGTGGTGGCTGCCCTCCAGAGCCTGGCGGCCCAGCATGGGGGTGTCCTAGGCCATGGGGGCCATGGTGGGCCAGCTGCATCTGGGACATCCCTAGGAAAAGAAAACAAAGAGAAGGAGACAAAGGGACACAGGACAAAGAAGACAGAACAAAATGACAAGGGACATAGAGAAGACCACACCAGGGCTGACCCTGTCCTTGACCCTTTCAATGGCAAAACCCACCACCACTGCGGGCTCTTCACCTTCCTGATTCCTTTCCGTCAGGACTTGTCTGAAGGTGACTGACTGCAGCGGCCACAGGAGGCATGCTGCTAATTTACCTCCAAGTTTGTTTGGCCTATCAGAAATGTCTTTTCTCTCGGTGTGAAGGAAAGACGATGAAACGTGCCCCCCCCCTCCTCCTCCTCCTGTGACTGGAGCACGAGGTGCGGACAGCAAAGCCCACAATAGCAGCAGACCTCTGCTCTGTGACGGACTGGGGAAGGTGGCAGTCACACTCCAGGACAAAGGCTTAGTTCTAAAAGGCCAGTAAGAAGTCCTAGCAAGGCGGTGGTGGCACACACCTTTGATCCCAGCATTCGGGAGGCAGAGCCAGGCAGATCTCTGTGAGTTCAAGGCCAGCCTAGGCTGTTACAGAGAAAGCCTGTCTCAGGAAGCTCACACCCGCATTCCCCAGTATGCCAAAGGCTGAGGCAGAAGTCATAGTTGAACAACAACCTTAGCTACCTAGCAAAGTTGAGACCAAAGTTCTGGGCCATCCATATGAGTCTCCGGCTCAAAAAACAATATAAAGTAAATTACAAAAAATAAAATAAAATTTTAGCCTGCCATAGTAGTGCACACTTTTAATCCCAGCACTAGGGAGACAGGAACAGGTAGATCTGTGTGAGTTTAAACTAGCCTTTTCTACAGTGTTCCAGGCCAGCCAAGAATATATTGTAGGGGGCTGGAGAGATGGCTCAGAGGTTAAGAGCACTGATTGCTCTTCCAGAGGTCCTGAGTTCAATTCCCAGCACCCACATGGTGGCTCACAACCATCTGTAATGAGATCTGGCACCCTCTCCTGTATACATAATAAATAAATAAATCTTTAAAAAAAAAAAAAATATATTGTAAACGCAAAAACTACCATCACCACCAAAAAAGGATTTCTAAGAGGACAAGAGAGAGCTGGGCGGTGGTGTTGAACACCTTTAATCCCAGCACTCGGAAGGCAGAGCCAGGCGGATCTCTCTGAGTTCGAGGCCAGCCTGATCTATAGAGTGAGATCCAGGACAGGCACCAAAACTACACAGAGAAACCCTGTCTCAAAAAACCAAAACCAAAACAAAACAAAAAAAAGGACAAGAGAGTGGATATCAACTGCTCCAGGCACAAAGTTTATAAAACCCGAGTACCAAGTGCTATGGCAATTTCAGTTACAGAGAACAGAAGAATTTTAAGAAAAAGTCTATGAAGATCCTAGAAAAATTACTCAGTAAAAGTAGCTCAAAGATAGAAAATTAGAGTCAAAGACCTAGGAAATGACCACAGTAAGTGTGTGTACAGCAGAGCAGGGTGCTGGTTGTGTTAGACACACAGTGGGAGAGAGAACACAAACTCCCCGAGCTGTGGCCTTAGCTGCTGCTAACAGGAGCTGTAGGAGAGGAAACTCAACTGTGGCTTGAGCAGCAGCCTTGTCTAGCCTGTCAAGAACCATGGACCAGAGACCCAGAAGGAATCAGTACCTGTACATTCAACACAAAGATAAACACAGGAGAACCCACACAAAATCTACAGACAGAAAGAAGGGGCTGGCCTCGGCTGCTAAGTCACACAGAGAATAAAAAAAAAAAAAAAAAAACCAGAAAAATACAAGAATTCAAACGGGAAGACATGCTAGTTACATGTACAGCAGCAGTTACGAAGCAGAAATGGCTGGTTGGTTAGTGGTGGTGTTGTCTTTAATCCCAGTACTCGGGAGGCAGAGGCAGGTGGATCTGAGTTTAAGGCCAGCCTGGGCTACAGATCAAGTTCCAGAACAGAGAAGTCCCAAAAACAAAACAAAACAAACAAACAAAAAAAACAGCAGAAATGTCGGCGAGATTTGGCAATCTCCTGGGAATCAGGAGAGGCTGAGAGGAAAAAACACTAAGTACAGGCTATTCTGCAGAAAACGTAAAAAATGGAGATAAAATGGGGAGCGCTGACGTACACAAAGTACTGTTTGTTTTCTGAAGGAAAGGGGACTCTGGACTACTTCCACCAAGACAAAGAGCAGCGGGACACGCAGGGACAGAGCCACCCCCACAAGCTCAGCCCCTTTTCCCAGCAGAGAGCACTTACCTGGATGGGGCATCCCACCTGGTGGGAATGGGTGTGGATGTGAATGCCCGTGACCGGGGTGCCCAGCTCCTGGAGTTCCCGCTGCGGGGGGCCCATGTCCTCCAGCCCCAGGTGGCATAGGTGGTGGGGGCATGGCGGGGGGTATCCCAGGAGGGAGGGCTCCGGGAGGCGGCACTGGAGGTGGGAAGGAGCCAGGAGGAGGCATGCCTACAGAGGACATGAGAGTTCATGGTGAGGAAGACCACCTTGCAGAGCGCCAACCCCCTGCGGCACCAAACCCCAGCCTCCCACGGAAACCCCCACGTCTTCACTGCCACCCCCACGCCTCACGCCTCACGCCTTTCTCACTGGTCACTGATGAACGACAGACTCCAGGGATTTTCCTGCCTCCGACCCTCCCTCCCAAGGGCCTCACTGGTGTAGTTTAAACTAAAAGCTTTACCTGGTGGAGGAAGCCCAGAGCCCAGGGATGAAACCACGGGGTTGGGGGCAGAGGGCGGAGGGGGTGCATCTGCAAACAGCTGGTGAGGGCGGTCAGCCTGGGACAGCGGGTTCTGGGCTGCCAGAAGCCGTTCGGCTGCTGAGCCGTGGCGCTCGCCCTTAGAGTCCTTCTTGAAGGCGTAGGACACAGTGATAGGGCGGTTGCAGAGGTACTGCCCATTCATGGCCTCAATCGCTGCGTCCGAAGCATCAAACGAAGCAAAATTAATGAAGGCGTAACCCTTGGAGTTGCCGGTGTCGGGGTCCCGCATAATCTTGGGGGTTTGTAAGATGACCCCAAAGGCGCTGAAAGTATCATAGAGCAGCTTCTCGTCGATTTCTGGGTCCAGGTTCCCAATGAAAATGTTGGCTCCGACATCCAGGTTTTTGTTGTGAGCTGAAGCCTTGTTCACCCGTATCGGCTTCCCGTAGAGTTTGATCATGTTCATAATCTTAATGGCATAGTCAGCATCTTCCTCGCTCAAGAACTCAACGAAGCCATAGCCTGGGAAATGGAAGGAAAGAGATTCAAAACCGAAACATTAACTCACTAGCCGCCAAACAAAGAACAACACGAAAGGACTTCTCACTTCAGTTGGGAACGGCCCCAGGAACCTCAAACTAGAGCTGAGAGAACACTCCAGAAGCAAACTGTGAACTGAGGCGAAAGGGAAAGAAACCTGCAGGTTGCTCATCCCAAGAGTTATGACTCGCGCGGAGAGGAGACCCTGGCGGGGCCGTGACCCCCATGCAGGGCTACTTCTCGCCCAATACTCACCTTGGTGCTGGCCAGTGACTCTGTCCTTTGGCATGTGGGTGTTGACCACCGGCCCCGCCTGGAGGAAGAGCTCCCACAGCAGCGGCTCGCTCACTTTCTCGTCGAGGCCCCCCACGTACACCGTGGCATCTGAAGCGAGGGAGCAGAGGGTGAGAAACAGGGTCCGAGGCAAGGGGAAAGCAAAAAGCGCGACCGGAGGCCCCGAACCCACCCACCCCCTGCCCGCCCGGTGTCTGACTCGGCGTTCCTGCCGACGCCGTCCTCCCCGGGGGCGTTTTGCCGGTGTGCTTGGTAGTGGAGTGGGGGACATCAGGGAGCTGATCCAGAAGCCCCCGGTCCCGGACCCCGGCCTGCACCAGGCCTGCACCCGGCCTGCGGGCCCGGCTCGCACAGCTCCGGCTCGCGCCGGGGGAGCCGAGCCTCCCACCCCGGCGGAGGCGCCTCCGGCACTGATCTGCCCACCCCGGCCCCCCTGGGCCCATCCTGGGCCCTTCTCCCCCCATTACCCTGATTTCGTTCGGAGATCGGCCCGGCCGCCATGGCGAAAGGGCTCCCGCCGTCTCTAAGCAGCGGCACCGCCCTCTGACCTCAGCTTCTACTTCCACTTCCGGGCCAAGGCGAGCCTTGGGCGGGGCCGGCGGCCGGGGCGGGGAGCCGGAAGGGGTCGCGGCCATCTTAGGAGGCGGGCCCGCGTCCGGGAAGCCGGGCTGGGGCCGTCCCGGCACCCGGGGTGGAGCGGGCGCCCTCAGCCCGTCTCGGTGCCGCTCTCCATCGTCAGGGGCTCCCATTACTCCCCAAGTGCAGACTCAAGTGCTAAACCAAGCTTTGTATGTCCTGTGACGCAGAGGCGCGGGCGGCGGGGCGGGGACACGGGGGGCGGGGACACGGGGGCGGGGCCTGGGGGCGCGGGGGCGGGGCGGGGACACGGGGGCGGGGCGGGGGGGGGACACGGGGGGCGAGGACCCCGCCAACCCCAGGGCTCGGCCGCCTTCCGAAGCGGCCTTTACCTCTGTCCACAGCCCCCGTGCAGCGCCCTCGGCCCTGGCTTGAGCTCGGGGAAGGGGAGGCACTGAAGTGGCTGAGCCCCACTAATCTAAGGGAAACCTGGACCACAGGACCCGGTGTGTTCCCAGGCCCCTCCTGAAGTTCGGAGATGCCTGTCTCCCCGGGCCGCGGTGGCGCACGCCTGTAATCCCAGCACTCGGGAGGCTGAGCCAGGCTGATCTCTGTGAGTTCCTAGGCCAGCCTGGGCTACAGAGCGAGATCCAGGACAGGCACCAAAGCTACCCAGAGAAACCCTGTCTCGAAAACAAACAAGCAAAAAATGCTTGTCTCAACCTCCAGAGTACACTCTGGTCTCAGCAGCACTGTACATTCTTGTCCCATCTTTTATGGTAAGAGACACAAAGAGAGGACCTTTCTTCTGGGCGTGGTGGCACCTGTTAATCCCAGCACTCGGGAGACAGGCAGACTGGTGGATCTCAGAGATCCAGGCCAGCCTGGTCTACAGAGCAAGTTCCAGAACAGCCAGCACTACACGGAGAAACCTGTCTCGACAGAAAAGGGGAACCCTTCTTTCCCCAAATTTCATGTGAATTCTGCCGAGCCCCACCTGACTTGGGCCCTTTATTTCCTTATCAATAATACGGGTGCTTTTCTCTCAATTCATACCCTTCCCCATCCACTTGGCTGAGATCTTCATTCAACACAAGAAACAATACCAGCAATGTGTAAAATAGTGTGCTTTAATGGACTCCTTAAATAGAAATACCACTACAAAAATACAGAGTGGGAGGAGAGGGTGTCTCCCTTATTCACCTCGTTCCCACAGAAGACTAAGGGACTGGATTTCAAAGCAGCGGTGAGGGGTTGAGAATGAGGTCTCTAGGCCATCTTGTTGGGACTGATGAAAAGTGTGTCTGACCTCACAGTTTTGACAGTTTGTCATCTAAAAGGTACGGAATTGCCTGGGAAAAAAAGGCAGCCATACTCTAAATCGGTTTTGTTTCTTACTCTTTAAATCAAGAGAAACGAAAATAGCTCCAGGAACCAAACCAGACGGGAGAGCTGGAGGTGGAGCACACGGGTGACAGAGACTCACACTCGGTGAGCTCACACAGTGAGGAGTGAGCTCCCCTGTGGGCTGGGCTGGGAAAGCTGAACTGCCGAGGTCAGATAGAGAGAGATTAGGAGAGCCCCTCCACACCCCCTCCGCCTGCCCTGGAGAACACCAGCAGTTTCAGCGGATCTGAGAGAGGATGGTGTTTGGATCTCTTCTCTTGCAGTGATCCTCGGGAGATGCTCTTGGTGTCAATTTTCTTAATAGTTCCTGAAGAGAAGAGAGCTCATCCTGGAGGCCAGAGACTGTAAGAGCTGAGGAGCCCTTCTGGGGAGGGGGAAGCAGGGTACAAAGGTTTGTTGTTGCAAGGCTAGCCTTCTCTTTCCTTTTCTGTTCTTTCTTTCTTTCTGTTCTTTCTTTCTTTCTTTCTTTTTTTAAATCTTTCAAGACAGCATTTCTCTGTATATCCTTGGCTATCCTGGAACTCACTCTGTAGACCAGGCTGGCCTTGAACTTACAGTGTTCTCCTGCCTCTGCCTCCTGAGTGCTGGGATTAAAGGCACTGCCCAGCTAGTTTTCTTTTTTGTTTTTTTGGGATGTTTTTGTTTTTGTTTTAAGACATGGTTTCTCTGTGGAGCCTTGGTTGTTCTGGAACTTACTTTGAAGACCAGGATGCTCTACACAGGCATGGGCCACCACTGCCCAGGAACGGAGACAGTATCGTTTTTGTTTGTTTATTTGTTTCTAGACAGGGTTTCTCTGTGTACCTTTGGTGCCTGTCCTGGATCTTGCTCTGTAGCTCAGGCTGGCCTCGAACTCACAGAGATCCGCCTGGCTCTGCCTCCCAGTGCTGGGATTAAAGGTGTGTGCTACTGCTGCCTGGTGGTGGTATCTATTTTTAAGATCCTTGCTACTTCGAGAGTCTTAAACGCTCTCTCCTCTTCTGACTGTGCCCTAGATTCCACATGGTGCAAGCCACGGGCAGTTTTCCCACCACCTGTTATCCCCAGCGGACCCAGTTTGACGAATGGAGTGCCCCCACTTCCTCCAGCCCTTTGCCTTTCCAGCTCTTTGTGCCCCTCCAGTCTGTTTTCCCTTCTCACCTGGACCTCAGGCCTTCCCCTCAGGTAACAGCGTTTCCAGAACCTGATCTGAGGTCCCAGATATCCAGGCAGCAGTAGCCCAGGAGGTAGAGGGCAAGCTCCCCAATGTGAGGGGAGCCCCCATTCCTGATCGGCTAGGCTTTCAGAGGATCTAGCAGGTCGAGGGAGCCAATGAGAAGAGACTGCCAGCAAAGAGGGGCTGTCTTGCCAAGGACAGAGCTGACTCAGGGCTGTCAGGGCCCCTCTAGAGAACAGCCACACAGAACTGGGGGGTCCAGGAACCGCGAAGCTTGGCTAAAAGAGAAAGCAAAGTCAACAGGGAACTGAGAAAACAACTTCTTTCTAAAGTGGGGAGGGACTTCCAGTCACATGGTACCCGAGACTCAAGAAGCCCCAAGGCTCCCTTGAGCTCATGGCTCACTAGGCTCTAGGGCTCTGGGCTTATTAGCTTGAGTTTAGAGGAACTTGTAATGTATGGATATGAAACAAGGGGCCTAACAAACAGAAATGAAGACAAAAAGGATGCTGTTTGCTATTCTAGGACATCGGTTGCTTTCTCTGAGGAACTCGGATATCCTGTCTTTCTACATCTCATCTAGTAGTGTGAACTTGGGCAAGTCAGGGGAATTGAAGTGTAGACATTTTACCTGTTGCCTGGGGAGCCAGGAACCTGGGCAATGCTCCGGATTGTAGCCAGGATTAAGGAACTGTGATATCTGTTCCTTGCTATAGCGTAAATCCCAGTCCCAGACGGACAGATGTAGATCAACAGAGCTCCCATGGAGGGGCTGGGAGTACTCAGGGCTGTAAACTTGTGTGTAGGAGTTGAACTGGACAGCAGAATCGAGAAAAGGGATGGATGGTTAGAGCTTAGGAAGTGGCTTGTTGGACAAGAAGAGCACTTGCCCTGTGAGGGGGAGGACGTTGAGTTTGAATTCCCAGAGCCCTCACGAAGCCAGACACATAACTCAGGATCAGTGATCTCAGTCCTTCTACAGGAAGATGGGAAGCAGACACAGGAGAATCCCTGGAAGCTCATGGGCCAGCTGGCCTGGAGTATACAGCAGACAAGCCGTAGGAGGACGATGAGGACCGATGCCTGAGCTTGTCTTCTGACCTCCACGGGACTGCTACTGCATGCACCCATCCACATTCACACGCACGACTGTGCACACACAAAACTTTTAAATAGGGGTTGTTAAGCCAGAGTGGTGTGTGTGTGTGTGTGTGTGTGTGTGTGTGTGTGTGTGTGCATCTGTCCCACATCTAGAAACAAATCATGACCCTCTTACCTCCTATTTCAGGCATCACATGGAGAACAAAAGTCCAAACTCAAGAGTGAGGTCCCCCAACCCCTTCCACAAACCCCAGCTTTCATAAATCAAAACCAAATTTCAAAGTCCGAATACAAGAAAAACATTAAAAAACAGAAGTCACTCACCTGTCCACTCTTCTTCACACGCTCCCAGGGAGTGTTTCTCAGGAAGGTGAGGGTGTCGGGAACCCGGATGCTGTCATGCAGGGCAAGAAGGAAGAACTCCGAGAATTCAAATTCAGCCGGAAACTGATGGAGGAGCTGCCAGACACAGTCCAGGAAGAGAGGGAACACCGCGGCCTAAGAAGAGAAAAAAGGGATCTAAAGCCCAGGGTGACAGAAGCCGAGAACAGAGGCCTGAGGGGGCAGGACACCAAGGGGTCAGGGGTTAAAATAGGAACTGAGTAGTATGGCTGTGAGCCTGACGCATCTGAGCGTTCACTCGGGTTACCTTAGCCCAGACCGGGTTCACTTCCAGTGGGTTCGGCTATATCATTCTCTCGCCCTCATTTCTTTAGTAATGCCCCCCAAACAAAACCTAGTGTCCTCACCTCCTCACTGGCCCCGGTGTCCCCAAGCCTCGTCAGGAAGGGGTGTCCGGCCGCCACCCACTCTCGTTGCACTAATGACTGGAAACCCAACAGTGTCCGGGCTTCGGGGGCCGAAAGCAGCTGGACGAGTGAGGAGAGGAGGCCATTGAGATCACGGTCACCACGCTCTGGGCGATGAGGAAGGAACCAAAAAGGGGGTCCAGGAAAACTAGGGCAGGAGGGAATGGGAAGAGGAGCCGTGGGAAGAGGACGGAGGGCAGGGGAAGGAGGGGAAGCGGGATTGAAAGGGCAGGGGGAAGTACAGAGAAAACAAAGCTCAGTGGTTCACTTCACAGACTTCACCTTCTCGAAACACCCAGTGTCACAGAGGAACCACCATCCCAGGTGCCCTTCCCACCCTGACCCTGTCCCCATCCACTGATAAAGGGGTGGGAGGGACTAAGAGCATCGTAGAGTTGGGGACCTGTTACAGTAGGGAGACTCGCTCTGAAGGATGCGTTGGCCCAAGGGCTTCCTACTGACAGGAAGATGCTGGTAGTTAAGGGCACAGGGAAGCTGTGTGAACCTCCCCCTTCCACACTATCCAGTCACGCGAAGGAAAAGGTAAGGGACACACAGAGCTGACCCAAGGGCCTCACCTTGAAGAACTACAGAACGGACCCGGGAAGTCACTAATACTGAGATGTCGCTGGCCTTTCGAAGACAAGACCTGGAGGGGCATGGGAGGGAGGAGGGGTGAGTTAGAAGAGAGGCCGATTCCCAAACACCTGCTCCTTCTTCTAAGAAACAGCGGTACAGTCTGAGGGGTGAATTTATGGGAGGCTGGAGAGCCCACGTCAAGAGAAGCCTGAAGAAGTTGGATTTTTGTTGTTTTTTGTTTCTTTGGAGACAGAGTCTCACTAATAGCCCAGGCTATCCTGGAACTCGCTATGTAGACCAGGCTGGATTAGAACTCACAGACACCCACCTGCCTCTGCCCCTACCTTGTGTGCTGGGATTAAAGATGTGCACCACTACATTTGGCTAGAAGTTAATTAAAATTAATCAAGATTAGAAAGTTGGGTGTACCTGACATAGTCCAACCATCGTGTTCCTTCCAAGGCTGAGAACCACTTCTCTTCAGCTGTAGATGAATCTAACAGGGGGGGCGGTCAAGAAGGGCAAAGGGGTCAGGATCCAGGTCTATACCCTAATGGGTTAAGAAATCTGAGAGGGCCAAGCGTGGCATGCACTCTAATCTCAGCACAGAGGCAGAGGCAGATAGATCTCTATGAGTTGGAGGCCAGCCTGGTCCACATCGTGAGTTCCAGGACAGCCAGGGCTAGACTGTAAGACCCTGTCTCAAAAAAGCAAAACAAGCCGGGCGGTGGTGGCGCACGCCTTTAATCCCAGCACTCGGGAGGCAGAGCCAGGCGGATCTCTGTGAGTTCGAGGCCAGCCTGGGCTACCAAGTGAGCTCCAGGAAAGGCGCAAAGCTACACAGAGAAACCCTGTCTCGAAAAACCAAAAAAAAAAAAAAAGCAAACCAAACCAAAATAAAATGGTTTGGTAGTGGGGGCTGGAGAGCTGGCATGGTGTTAGGAGGGCATATTGCTCTTCAGGATGACCTAAGTTTGACTCAGAACCCATGTCAGGTGACTCTTGGCCGACACTATTGACCTCCACAGGCACCCCCAAATACATGGCATACAGACCCACACATATACATACACGTGATAAATGAAGGCCTTGGGTTAGATCCTCAGCATTTAAAAAAAAAGTTTTTATGAGTATACAATATTATAAATAAAATTCATCGTACACTTAAGATGGATAGAGTGAATTTCATAAAGTTTTTTTATTTTTCATTTTGTTTTGAGACAGGGCCTCATAGCCCAGACTGGCCCTACATTCATTATAGTGATCCTCTTTTTTTTTTTTTTTTTTTTTTGGTGAGCTAGAGATGAGTGGTCCAGTAGTCTTTTTCCAAGGGACAGTTGTGAGCTGCCTTGTGGGTGCTGGGAATTGAACCCAGGTCTACTAGAAGAGCAGCCAAGGCTCCCAACCACTGAACCATCTCTCCAGCCCTATAGTGATCCTCTTAATTTTATTTCCCAAATGGTGTGATTACAGGTATGTACCACCGCACCCATTCAGCCAGGAAAGTTGCATTTTTAAAGTTGGGGAGCAGGGTGTGGTAGTGCATGCCTTTATGCATTCTCCTAGCAGTCATGAGACAGAGTCAAGCAGATGGATCAGTGAGCTTGAGGCCAGCCTGGGCTACATAGTGATCTTGAGGCCAGCCAGGGCTACATAACGAGACTCTGTCTCAGAGGCTAAAAAAATGAAACAAAAAACATTTGGGGAAAACAGGCTATTGGTAAATCTGTGGCCATGAAGATAGAATGGAAAAGTGAAAGACTACTGGGCTAAAGGATTATTCATCTATCATATACAAAATAGGTCAGGGTTAGGGTTGAGGGCTCAAAGATTAATCTCACCAGGCAGGCAAAGGGCCCTCAGCTTCAAGTGGGCAAGTTGGATATCGGCAAGACTAGGCATCCCATCCATCGTATCTACCAAGACAACATCAGAGTGCCCAGCCTGGAGCATTGACTCCACCGCCCTGGAGGGAAAGAGGGGTCAGGAATGAAGCCACGAATCTTCCCAGAATAGCTGCCCTGAGTCTCGTCATGACCCCTCACCTGATGTCTTCTTTGTTAGGGTCACTGGCTACATAGAAGCCTCCACATCGGAGAAGGTCACTGCCGCCAGGGTGGTGCCAGGACAGGCGCTTCATAAGGGTGAGAAGAGGGTCATTTTGGAAGAACTGCACTTAAGCTGCCCTTGCCCTGACAATGACCTCACAGGAAGCCCCCCCATCCCTTGTCCCCTGACCCTCTGATCTCGGACTGACCGGTCCACGGCCCTGATGGAAGTGGGCAAATGCTCTTCTGACCTCACTGTCCAGAATTCGATTAGGGACCCAGAAGTAACCCGAGAGGCTGCAAAATGAAGAGTGACGTCACAGCTTGTCAGTGACCTCTGCTAACAGGAAGCTATTATGATAAGGAAGTTACTTTGGAAAGACCATTCCAAGGGATCTCAGGTTTTAAAAAGAGGGAACAGGCTGGAGTTTATGGGAACTGCTGGCTTAGAGGACCAAGGAACTCCGGGAAGACTTGGGGGCAGCAGGAGCTGGGCGGATGGGGACATCACCTGGAAGCTGTGTCGAATCTCTCATTGACTGTGCTAACCCTCCAGCCCCTGGCCCCCTGCTTCTTCCGCTCAGCTTCCCAGTCTTCTAAAGTCTCCAAGAGAGGAATAGGTGGTTTTCTGGAGCCAGAAACCTTGCCTGGAGCAGGAGTGAGACACAGAGGAAGAAGGAATATTTTATCCAACTAGCCCCTTCCATTTCAGACTCTTCCCATTGCCTTGACCTAAAGCATCCTCACTTACCGATTTTGCTCATGGTTATTCCTCTATACTGCTGGATTTGACTACTCTGAGCTCTGGCTTGAACGATGGCCATGGTTAACTGGGGAGGAGAGCATACATATCCCATCCTTTAGCCTCAAGACTAGCAGTAAAAAGAATGAAATAGCATGTGTTGCTCTGTCTTTACCATCAATAGAGCAGAGCCGCTAACACGGGCCCCAGAGAAGGAGACCTCCACAACTGGTAGGTGCTGTGGGCAGAGGAACAAATCTAGAACCACAGAATCATAGAGTACTAATTTGGGGGAGGAATCTTAGGAATATTATCCAACTTTCCACGTTTTTCAGAGGTGAAAATTTACCCATAGTTACTGCTCATAACTGACAGAGCCAGACAGGTCAGGCCCCGCCCCTTCACGAGACTATCACTTACTCCAGCCTTTGAGTGGAGTGAGAGAAATGATTGTTGTAGAATATTATTTTAAGAGACGTTACATTTGTTTATGCTGTGGAACATTTGTTTAATGATGCAAAGATGTGTTGTATTCTTTTTGTTTTGTTTTTAAGATTTATTTACTGCTGGGCGGTGGTGGTGCATGCCTTTAATCCCAGCACTTGGGAGGCAGAGGCAGGTGGATCTCTGTGAGTTCGAGGCCAGCCTGAGCTACAGAGTGAGATCCAGGACAGGCTCAAAGCTACACAGAGAAACCCTATCTCAAAAAAATAAAAATAGATAGATGATAGATAGATAGATAGATAGATAAAATACCATTCATACATATAAAATAAAAATAAATCTTAAAAAAAAGATTTATTTACTTATTATATACACAGTGTTCTATCTGCATGTATCCCTGCAGGCCAGAAGAGGGCACCAAGATGGTTGTGAGCCACCATGTGGTTGCTGGGAATTGAACTCAGGACCTCTGGAAGAGCAGCCAGTGCTCTTAACCTCTGAGCCATCTCTCCAGCCCTATTGTGTTCTCTTATGTTGCATTTGTTTAACTCTGTGAAGCTGTGTTACTTTGCCTGTCTAAAACACCTAAAGGTCAAATAAAGAGCTGAACACCAATAGTGAGGCAGGAGAAAGGATAGGTGGGGCTGGCAGGCAGAGAGGATAAGTAGAAGGAGAAATCGGGGTGTGGGGAGGGGGGAGCAAGAGAACAAGGAGGGGAGGATGCTGGGGACCAGCCACTGCCACACAGCCAGTCACAGAGTAAGAGTGAAAGATTACAGAAGAAAAGGAAAAGCCCAGAGGCAAAAGGTAAACGGGATAATTTAAGTTAAGAAAAACTGGCAAAAAAAATAAGCCAAGCTAAAGCCAAGCATTCATAATTAGGAATAAACCTCTGTGTGTGATGTATTTGGGAGCTGGGTGGCGGGCCCCCAAAAAGAGAAAAAAACAACCAACAACAAATGATGAGAGGCCCTGGAGCATGGAGAGGACCCTGGGTTTCTAAGGTGAGGAGGGTTCTTACCTGAAAGGCCTGGGGCCCTAGTCCTCCAGCCTCAAAACCAACCCTAAGCAGACGGAAGTCTCGACCGTGAATGAGAATCTCCTCTGGGACGAACTTCAGCTGGGCCCCCGGACGGAGGAGCTGCACCCTGGACAAGCCACTCACTGAGGTCAAGAGTCAGAGAGTGGAATAACCATGGGGTCGCTCTGGGAGGATTCCTTCTAGTCCACCCTGCCCCACCCTTGCAGCCTTCTGGGGACACAAAGGGGGTGTTCTGACGCCCCTTTTATCAACCCCTCACACTTACCAGCCTCTAATCGCCCAATGTTGACCAGGGCAAAATCATAGTCACTGCTCAGGGGAGTGTCCTAAAGGAAGCACAAGAGTGGTACTACAGACCTCGGACAGCCATCATTGTCCTACCCCGGGGCCTCCCTCCTCCTCCTCTGCCCTCCCCAGTAGATGGCAACTTCCCTAGAAATAATTCCTACTGTCAAGAATACAGTCAAAGGACACCCCCTAACCCACGTGTGTCCAAATCCAGACTCCCTTCCCAGTTCACTCTAGCGGTCCATTTATTTTGTTTTGTGTTTTTAAAACAGAGTATTGCTGCATAGCCTAGGCTAGCCGGGAACGCTCATGGTCTTCCCATCTCACCCTCCAGAAGGCTGGGATCACCGGTCACGTGATCACAGGCACGTGCCGCCATGCCCAGCTTCTGTCTTTTCTATTACACTGACCATCTCACCTGATTTCGCCGCCATCCACCAGGTTGGAAGGTAACCCTAAAGTTAGTGCAGACCAGAGTTCCAGGCAGCTCCACTTCTCGCCCTTTCCGAAGCCCTGGTGCCCATGCCAGGACCTTCTCCCCTAAAAGAGGAACGGGGCAGCAAAGTTCCAGCTGTGCCTACTGCTGCCCACATGGCCACATCCCTGCTCCTCTCTCTAGAGCGTCAGATAGCAGGGAAATGATTTGCATTTTGTAACCTCTAACAGCTCAGTGACAGAACACGGCACAGAGCAGACATTCGATGGTCATGGACTAGTTAATAAGAAAAGGGCTAACCAAGGCAAGAAAGCAGAGGGAACATCAAGGTTGGAGCTCCCCACCAGCTCTTGGGGAGACAGGAGTGCAAGCCTCAGGCAGAAACACTTTGAGGAAAGGAACACAGAGCCATCCCTGGTGAGAACTTAAGGCTGGGGTAGGAGGAATTCTGAAGGAGTCTTGGAAAGTCAGGTTATTACCTGGGAGGCCACCAGAGGCCAGGCAATCACCAAGCTGATGACTGCTGTGCTCCGGCATCCTGTGGCCTGCGTCAGACCTCGGTCCAGAGAACTGAGAAGGGGAGAGTTAATCTGGGACTCCCCAGCCTCGGGATCTGGGATTCCTTCAGCAGCTGCCTTTGGGGACCCACACAGCCTCTCCCACTCAGGGAAACTGAGACCAGTGACTGCCAGGAGCTCAGGCCCGGGGCTGGCAGACAGGACAGGGAGGGGCTAGTTAATGAATAATGAGACAACTCGAGACAGAAAAGGGCAGAGCAAGCTCCATGACAGTTGATAAAACAGATACACCCTCCTCTGGATCCTTTCTTCCCTCTTGACTTCCAGAGCATCCCCATTCACACCCTCTTGCCACTCCCCGACCCCCCTCCCCACCCTCATTCCATCTCCTTACCCCCATTTCTGGCTCCTCTTCCTGGGGGGCAATGTTGAAACTCTGGCCCCGGCCCCCCCACCACATTTCCCTGGCTCCATCCGGGAGTGGAGCACCTAAGGGCAGGAGTCCTCAAAGATGCTCACTCTCTCTGGGGAGAGGCTAAAACCAAGCGGTCCCCGGAGAAAGAGGCGAGGGAGGGCCCGGGGGAAACACCGCTTGGGATGCGAAGAGCACAGCTCCGGGGGTCTTATTTGAAAGGTGTGTCCTGCCCAGACAGGGAAGGCTCTTTGGAAACTTCGGTAACTCTAAAGAGGCCAGGCAAGATGCCCAGCCCCTTAAAGGAGAACACTCACAGTTTTTGGGAAAGTAGAAAAGGAAATGGAGGCCTTAAGAAAGATGGGAGACATGGGGGTAACTGAGGAGTACCCAGATCCCCTCTACCCAATCCCACATTCTAGTCTCTTTATGTTCGTGAACATTACAAGTTGGGGGGGTGCGCAGTAATGTAATTATTAAATGGGAACATTTTGGGCTAGCTCTCTGTACTGTTTAGTGAGAAATGAAATACTAGGAAACTCGTTATTTTGGTTTGGTTTATTCATGGGTTTTATGATTATGTTGTTGTTTTGGCCTTTGATTTTCAACCTCCTCTGACAACGTAACAACCGGGGTTGAGAAGGGGATGTAAATGGGAGCGGGACCTTGTGTCCTTTTCCGGAGAGGGGGACAGGCCGAGGGCCGAGTGAAGCGGGCGGAAGTTGGTGCGTCTGGGATGCAGATGTAGTACAGGTATTTTGGGGTGCAATCTCAGCAGTGGAGTGGGGGAGGTGTAGAAAGCCCGGGAAAGGGTCGTAGTATCTAACCCAGCCTTTCCTCACTGCAGGCGCGTCCCCGCCCCCGCCCCGACTTATTCCCCAGGAAAGCCCTGCCCAGGTACACGACTCCTCCCCCTCCAACCCAGTCACCAGATCTCCTCATGAATGATTCATGTTCTGGACTTGAAAGCTAGGGGTTGGAAACCGTCCTTCGGCTCCAGGATCACATCTCCCCCTCCTTCCCCGCTGAACTCAAGAAGCGAAGGTGGGGGTGGGGTGCCAGGAGACAAGGAACGGAGACGGGGAGGGCAACTTGAGGGTAGCCTGTTCCACCGCCAAAGACAGGAAGTGAACACAAAATAGGGTTAATGAGCTGCTGTTTTATTGTTTTTGAGTCTGTACAGAGGCAGCAATCCTTAGGTGGGGGTCGTGACATTCAACCCTCCCTTCCCCACAGCACACATCCTTCCAGCCTCAGCTCCCCAAGTTCCTGGTGTTGGCTGCAACTGTGGAAACAGTGGAGCTGGCGCGAGCCGAGCCAGTCTGGAACAGGTATGTGCTTGCGAAGAAGGGGGCCCAGAAGCCTTACTGTGAGGTCCAAAAGGTTGCTGAACACCTCTACCCCAGCACGCACCTCTCAATGTCTTGTGGAATAAAGTATGAACTGTAATAAGGAAGCAGCGTCGGAAGAGGTGTGCGCCCCCCACCCCCCATGGTTTAAAATCCCATGATCCACTTTTCTTCCCCCTACCACTCTTCCGAGAGCCTCATTCTAGTCTTTAATACCTCGAGGTATGGGAACAGCAGAACAGAGGAAGAATGGTCAGAGAAATGAACTGGGTGACTTGGATCACCCCCTAACCAGAAATGCAAGGGCAGCAGCTGAAGGTCAGGTAACGGAAGACTCTCACCACCTGCAGCACAACCCAGCTGTCCACTACTGGATGGAAAGGGCATAGAGAGGCAAAGAGCTGCATCAGATTTTTCCATTTTCAGACCCATTTTGGGTACAGGTTTGCCAGGAGCAAGGGCTGCTGGGAGGGGCAGCTGGAGGAGGGAGGTGGAGCTGAGTGACTCACGCGATGAATCACAGATCCAGTTATAAACACAGAACGAGGCCAAGGTCCTTCCCACCCGACTCCTCAGACAGCGTCCATCACTTCTGCCGCCCCCACCCACGCAGCCATGGAGGGGCACAGGAATTCCACTCGGAAGCATGACAGTTAATCAGCTTAAGCACAGGAGGCAATACACCCTAATTTGTGACTGGGTAGCTGCAAAATATTATTAAAACAGACAGAGCCCCTATGACTCACTGAATCTGCAGTTGGAGATGGAGGGAAAGAATTCAGTTCTAAGACTCTGGAGTTTGTGTTTCTAAGCCAGAAAATGGCTTCCAGTTCTGTTCTCACCTATGGCTATATGGGTGGCACTGTCCTTGGAAAAAGAGGGCAGAGTCCAGAGGTGTCTGAGCAACACACAGACAATAATTTCCCAAATGCTCCTTTACTGAAGGAAAACAAAGTGCCTGGAACCTTGGGCACGTGACTGAAGGAAGAAAGGCCAGAGCCAGATCTCAGGGAACCAGCTCCATTCTCTGGGCTCAGGATCACCCCCCACCCAAGTATATAAGATAAAGTCATGGTAATTTCTGCTCTATTGTCTGTGGACTCTGGAAGCCTATGGTGAGGGAAGGTACTTCTATTTTAAGGCACAGCAGAGAGCTTAACACCATCCCTCACTCTTAGAAATTGCATCTTAAAAACTAAATAAAAAGATATAATTTATATTCTTTATAAAACACAGTATGAAGAAAGTCTTTTGCAATTCTCAATTAAGCCAGCCTGAGTAAAGAGGAAGGATTTGGAGGCCGGCCTCTGGTGGATTTGCGGGAAGTTGGGGACAGGGCAGAGAATGTAGGGGAGAGGGTATAACCGTGTTAAGTGGAAAGGAGAAAAGAAGAACCCTGAAGATCTCCTCTCTCCATTAACTTCAGTAGGACCCCAGATGCCCTGGATTAACAGGAATAATTGCACTTAATGTAAGCCTGAGCGATGAGGCCATGCCTCACCTAGGGATACAGGGTCTACCTTCCTGTCACCCCCATGACCCTCTGGACAAGGGAGGTTTGAAGTTCCCCACGCAACCCTCCCTCACTTCTCCCCACCACAGTAATCGCATGGGCTTGTCTACACCAAAATGCAAGCCAATCCGGATCTGTTTTGTTTTCCAGACATTATTAACTCCATCCTACTCCACCCCTCCGTCACCCCCAAAGAGAGTGAAAAATAAAGTTCACCATCCCTTATTTTAAAAAAAGAAAATAAATAAATAAAACCCTTAGAGAGGCCTTTTGGTGTCTTAATAGTCACCCTCCCAATTAAAACTAATTTAACAAAAAGTTAAAAGAGCCTAAGACCCATTTTCCACATAATCTTAGAACTCCCTTCCCGTCCCTGGAACTTCCTTTTATTTTTGCTTTGAAAAGGCAAACAATTAAGATTGGGTACCATATAAATAAAAACAAACATGATACAAGGTTTCTGTTTATCTTCATTTGTTCTCGGTTTTTAAAAACAGGAGTGGTCAATACAATCTACTAACAGATCAAGTCCAAGCACAGCAATCCAACGAGAGCAACTTCCCTGGTCTTACTGGGCAAACCCCAGCTGGGCCATCTCTGTCCCTCTTCCCCTAGGCAGGTACCCAGGGAGGGTGTGGGGATGATGAGCAGTGCCACCAGGGTGTCTGTAGTGTCAGGAAGGGAGGGGCTCATCTGTACCACTCAAACTCCAGGAACTGGGACAAGTCTAAGGTGATGAGAACAAGGCACAAGGCATTCATTCACCTTGGGAGAGAAAATGAAGGAGTGCTTAAAACCCATGAATCAAGATAAATACCATCTTGATGCAGTATTTTGTAAAAAGTCAAAACATGTAAAAAAAAAAAACAAAAAAACTTTATGAACATAAAAATGTAAATAGATAGGATTTGTCCTCATATTTGTTCAATTCAGGGCTCACTGCTTTCACCTCAATACCATTCCTGTTACATCCCAAGATTCTGATGTTTGGGTCAGTCTGGGCTTTTCATATTATGTTTATATACTGGATGGCGTGATCCCAGCACTTGGTAAGCTGAAGCAAGAGGGCCATACATTTGAGGCCCAAGGAGGACCCTATCTAAAAAAACAAAACATAAAAACTCCTCCATTTCTGAATAGACCTTTAAGTTATACACCTGCAGAAATGCTCGTCTCTGTTAGGTTCCAGCCTAAAGAAAGCTGGATGTGGCAGCTCACACCCAGGTCCCACAATTCACAAGACTGAGGCAGGAGGGTGGCTGTAAGTTGGAGGCTAGCCTGGGCTATGTAACAAGTACCAGGCTGGCCAGCCAGGGCTACATAGCAAAGAAACAAACAAAAACTGTCTGAAAATAATAACAGGAAATTATTAAATCAACAGATTGACAGATATGGAAGTGACTTTCAAATTTTTTGAGGGGAAAAAAGCCTTTCTAAACTAAATAATTTCAATGAGGAATTGTTGACTAGCTTTGTTACCAAGGGGAGGTGTGTGATCATTATCCTGACTAGGCAGAAGAAACATGTAGACAGGAGTCCCCCCAAACACACGCACGCACGCACGCGCACACACACACACATACACACACACACGCAGAGCCATTTGTGCCTTAGATCCAATGTGGGGATTACATTCCATCAAATGTGGGCGATGACATACCTCAGTAAAGAAATCAAAGCACAGAACAGCCAGTCAACACTCTGGACACGGAAGCACACTCACACCCCTTCTTCATATACAGCCACAAGTGTATACAATTGCATAGATGATTTTTCCCCCAGGAAAAAAAAATACAGGGAGAAAGGACAACTGGTGAGGGAGTCTTCTGGTTTAAAGCTCTTCGAAATGGCTCTGGGCAGAGCGAGTGCTGTCCAGACTTGTGCTTTGTGCAAACCGCAAGGGACCTCTTCCCACTGGGGCCGCTCCCCCTCTGGAGAACAGGGTTGGCTCAGGAAAGGGAGAAATCCAAAGGCAGATCAGCCCACTGGGACTAATCTGGGCCTGTGGCTATGGTTCACTAAAATATATTTTCTCTAGCTACCTTTATAAATGGCCCCTAGTCCCATCCCATGCTTCAACACCAGTCCTAATATCAAAAATAATTCTTCTTACAAAGTATTCTTATTATTTTAATAAGCTAACCATAGATTAAGGTCAGCTATGGCTTAACAAAAGAAGCCAAGATGTTAAGTTCGTTCTCCAGAACTAGACAGGAAGGAGAAAAAAAAAATCACTTAAATGGGGGTGGGGAGTAAGTAATTTTTAATTTTTTTTGCCAGGGTCTTATTTTTTCTTTAAAAAAAAATTAGTAAAATAAGCTGCTTTCTACAGAAACGCAGCAGCGGAGAGCTCTACAGAGGGTTTTGGTATAGCTTCAAACAGTCTGGCCCCCGGCCTCCTCAGTGCACTCCAAGCCCACATGTAGTTATTGCTAAGTAGTTAAAAACAGCTCACTCTGCACCCACCTGAAGAGAGCCCCGCACACGAGGCTGCTCTTACCACCCTTCTCTCTCCCAAAGAGGACTTGCTTTTAAAAATAAAACTTCTTTAAACCACAACTTCTTAACTTAGCTGAGCTCAGTCCTCAAAAAGGATGAGGAAAAGATGGGGGCAACAGGCAGACTCCCCTAAAACTAGAATGGACGACAGATGACTAGCTAGAACATAAAACTTCCTAGGAAAAAGAATCCTCCTCCAAGCTCCTCCCTTTGCTACGTCCACCCTCTGGGATTTAAAATCCCCTTTCTAAGAAGGCCAGGCACACACTGCCTGACCCTTCCTTGGGAAGAAGAATGTACCCAAGCCTGTCACCTACCTAATTCAAACCAAATCAAACATGTTCAGTATCTCAGATTCCCCCTACACTCCCAACTCCACCACCATGTGCTTTTTTCTAAAGTCAATGAACTTTGGTCTGGTTTTTCCTTCGCTGACTGAGGACCTTCTTTCCAGGTTCCTCCCCCAAGATGTCCACCCACCTCCCACCCACACACACCAATTATTTCCCTACTTCCCCTGGGCCCTGGGACAGGGCGCAGGGGGTTATGAGATAGATAGTCTTCCCTTCGGTCGTGCAGTCTCAAGTCAGCCCTCCCTAAGAGCAGCCCGGCCCTGAGATGGCACCAGCCCTGTCCTGCCCGCCAGCCTGCTGCACTCCAGCTCTCTCAGACATTTCTGCACGGGCCCCGTCGACACAGGGGCTGGGTCTCCAGGAGCCAGAGTTGAGCTTCACTTTCTTTGTTTACCCCTTTCCCGCTGCCGCCGCCGCCGAGGTTCTTCCTACCCATTCAGAACCTGTGCGCCAGCAGTTCCCCACTTGGTTCCCGTTCCCTCCGCCTCAGTTCTTCCCGGTAACAGCAGGAGCAGAAGTTGTTTGTCTCGGGGTGCCCATAGAAGCTGCAGTTCGGCTGTCTGCATTTGGTCTGGGTTGGGAGAACCCCCCGGGAACCTCCAGCCCATCCATCCGGCTCAGGGGGCTCTCTGTAGCCATTGCTATAGCAATCAGCCACGCGGAACTGGGGTGGTAACAAGGCACCCCTGTGAACTCCATCTTTGCCTGGCTGCTCCAGAGGTGGGATGTTGTCCTGGTGAGGGTAGGGTCGCCCAGGAGGGTACTGTCTGGGAAAGGTGGCATAGGGTGGAAGGCCGCCTACACACGGGCCCCCTGCCAACTGCCTCCGGGGCTCCTGGCAGTGGACCCCACCCCCAGAAGGTCGAGGGATAGTAAAGCCCCCAGGGTAACCGGTAGAGAACGCCGCCAGGGCCTTGGACTCTGCTGGGGAGTCGCTGGGCTGGTCCTCCCCGCCATCCGGCTCTGGCTTTTTGGCTGGAGGCGGCCCACTAACTAAGCCTCCATTCATGATCTTGCGCTCAGCTTCCTTCTGCTTCTGCTCTGCCAGGAATCTCTCCTCCGCATCTGCAAGGTAGCGCTGGATCATCTCCTCCTGGTACTGGTGCCGCTGGCCCATCTTCAGGGTTCCGACAAAAATAAACTTGCCCTCCCCTTGCATTGCGATCCGCATGATGCTCAGGCTCTGCATCACCTCCTGGCTGTACTTGCTCCCCCCATTGCCAACAGACTCAGCCGAGGGCCTCTCAGACACGGGCCCATCCCCAGCGGCCTCCTCCTTGCCAGCCTTCCAGCTCTTGAGTGCGCTGTTCTTCTTCTTCTTCTCCAGAGTCTCGGTGCCACTGCTTACTCCAGACCCGCTGCCCAGCGCGCCAGGCTTGGGGCCCTTGCCATGCATCAGGCCCCCCATGTTCTTCTTCAGCTTGCTGCCCAGCGTTTTGCCGAAGCTGCCCAGCTTGTTAGCCACCGAGTCCGCTCTCTTCTTGTCCTTCTCCCGGTCTCGCTTCGACTTCTCCTTCCGCCTGCTGCCCTCATTGCTGGTAGAGCCGCTGCCCACCGACTCCTTGTCCGACTCCCCGGACTCAGGAGTGGACTTGGGCTCGTCTCCAGCTGAGGCTGTGGGGGACTCGGGCTGGGCCAGAGGCGCCTGTAAGAGAGGACAGCAATGACAGTCACCTCACTGGGCTGCTGCGGGGAGGCTCCCAGAGACATGGAGCCTACAACAGCTTACAGGGACTGGCCACACAACAAAGGGTAGTGTCCTGGTGAGTATCTGTGTCACCTGGATGTAGGGTAGGGTCATCTGGGAAGAAGGAATGTTGAAGAGCGGCCCCCATGATTGTGGCAAGCAGCAAGTCTGAGGAGCAGCCTTTCCTGATGAGTGACTGATGTGGGAGGCCCGGCCCACTGCGGGGTGTGTGTGTGTGCCGCTGCTTCTGGGTAGGGAGTCTTGGGTTGTGAGAGTGGGGAGAGCAGGCTAGTGAGCAGCGCTCCTCCATGGCCTGCCTTCAGTTCCTGCCTCTGCTCCTGCCCTGGCTCCCCTCAGTGATGGAGTGGGATCAGAACACAGACACCAAACAGACCCTTTCCTCCCCCGTTTCTGTTTTGGTCATGGTCTCCAGCACAGCAATAAGAGGCAAACAGGAGAGCATAAGTGCCCTGTGCACTCCGTCCGTCCGTCCGGGGAATGACTGTCCAGCTCCGGAGAAGGGCTCCAGCCAGGTGTGTCACGGGCCAAGAAAAGACATCATCTGTGTCTACCTTTCCCTCGCTCACTGCAGTAGGAGATCCAAAGGACCCGAGTGCCCCCAGCAATGAAGCCTGGAATGCATGGCCTCTGGGCAAGCAGCGGCCTTTTCTCTCTTTCCTTCCCTTTCTTTCTTTCTTTCTTTCTTTCTTTCTTTCTTTCTTTCTTTCTTTCTTTCTTTCTTTCTTTCTTTCTTTCTTTCTTTCTTTCTTTCTTTCT